CCTGCTGTGGAAGAAAGCCAGCCAGAACATCTGTTGCCATATGCAACAGAAAAACCATCAGTAATGGATGTGCTGATCTCTAGAAAACGATGCAAACCTTCAGCCTACATGAAGGCCAGAAGGACTGTCCTTAGAGGTTTCCACACCAGAGATACAAGACAAGTGGAAACTGTGCAAGTTCCCACTCAACTCCAAAGTGTCCCTCAGCTCCCACTGCCATTTCAGGTACAGGCCGCTCCATCAGTCTAAATGGCAGCAGTTTATGCAATAACTTTGGACATTAAAACCACAGCATTTCTGTTTCCTGCACATAACCTGTCCTCATCAATCCTGTGCAGAAACATAAACATGCACAAAGTTACCTGGATGTTGCTTGAGCATTTGCTGACACAGAGCCAAGACACAGAGGAAACAACAGAACTTTCTGGTATTGCTGAGGCTGGGATCAGGCTCTTCAGTAAACGAGTGTTCACTGTATCAGCTGCAAAACAAACCATTGAAGATCAGATGCTGCCCACGTACCAGGTTCTTTGATATGGTTTTAAGGTTAAGACCACCCCAGACAAAATTATTCAGAGCTTCTTTGCTTATAACAGTGCACAAGAATCCATTAGGGACTGTCTGCATCACCAAGAGACTCTTTGCAAGACAAAGAAGAGTAGCACATTTCTGGTAATATTAATGACCAATTCCTTCACCAGAAGAGTATATGAGTGCCAGCCAAACATCAGCAAATTACTGCCTTAGAGATAAGCCAAGCAATGTGAATCAATAAAAGAACAAAATTACTTGCATAATAAGGAAAGAATCCTGCATGCTCCTCTTGTATGTGAGAAAGGGAAAGGTCATCCTTTTTATTTAATACTACATTAATTTAGAAATACAAGTGATGGCCACCACCAGGAGAGCAGCACAATGACATGCTGAATTGATTGGTAGGACAAATGCTCTAATTTTAGTGAGTTTCATTAACACAGTTATGAAAGTGTCCTGGTTTTGCTTGGGATAAAGTTAATTTTCCTCGTGGTGGCTGCTACAGTGCCATGCTGTGGATTCAAGAGGAAAAACTATGATGATACACACTGATGTTTTAGTTGCTGCTGAGCAGTGCTTACACTATTTCAAAGATGTTTCAGTTTCTCCCATCAGCAAAGCTGGCAGCGCACAAGAAGCAGGGTGGGGACAGAACCAGGAGAGCTGACCCAAAGGGGCTAAAGGGATGTTCCATACCACGTGGCATCTGAACTCAGAATTCACTCTGGAGTGTGCAAGGAAGATTATTTTTATGCCAAACCCTACAGCCTCTATAGATGTACCACCTCCAGCAGGTTCAGAGGGGAGGCAGACATGCACTGAAGACATGCCTGCAGTACATAAACACATTACCAAGTTTGCCACTGAGTGCCACATCTAGCAATACATCAAATCCTTCAGGGGGTAAACCTCTTTTCAGGGCAATGCTTTCCACAGTAGACAAATGTTTCTGCAGAACTGCACTCTTTTTCAGTGAAACTCGATCTTGAACTAGGAAAAAAAAAAAAAAAAAAAAAAAGACAAACAATGAAACAACTTCTGAAGTTAAACTGAAGTGTTTTAAACTTCTCTGAATTGCTCCTATAGGTAGTCCTTCTTGTTGGGCTCTTCATAGAATCCTAGGATGGCCTGGGTTGCAAAGGACCACAGTGCTGCTCCAGTTCCAACCCCCTGCTGTGTGCAGGGTCACCAACCAGCAGCCCAGGCTGCCCAGAGCCACATCCAGCCTGGCCTTGAATGCCTGCAGGGATGGGGCATCCACAGCCTCCTTGGGCAACCTGTGCCAGTGCCTCACCACCCTCTGAGTGAAAAACTTCCTCCTCATATCCAACCTAAACCTCCCCTGTCTCACTTTAAAACCATTCCCCTTGTCCCATCACCATCCACCTTCACAAACAGCCATTCCCCCTCCTGTTCATACACTCCCTTCAAGTACTGGAAGGCCACAATGAGGTCTCCCCAGAGCCTTCTCTTTTCCAAGCTAAACAAGCTTCCTATAGCAAGCAAAAGGAAAAACCTTTAAATACACTAACAAGGCAAGCTACTATAAAGCTCAGACGTTAGAATAAGGAACATTAGACATTAATCTTGACAAGTCACTGCAGCCAATCTTAAATCTGCTCTCTTACTTTTCTCAAAGTAGCTCAGAGCTTGCTCAAGGGAGTCTTGCTCGTTGTCATTTTTCTGATCACTCAGAGATTGATGATTCCGGGCACTTTCTTCAGTATCAACTGTCCCTCCTTTTCTCCAAGCAGAGAGATCAGTCTGATTGCTGTGGTGAACTTGCAGAGGTTGCTTGGAGTGCTTAGAACTCCGCCTTCGTTGCATCTTTTCAGCCTTTCAGTTGAGATGGGAGAATTCCACTCGTTTGTCACGTGGGTTCCGGTCCTTCCAGAAGAGGGGGAAGCAAACAGACCAACCTCCAAGAGTTGAAGAGCAAGTTTCCTGCAAGAGAAGAAAGCAGGTGTTTTCCTGACAAACAGATTTTATAGGGATACTGGATAAGGTAAGAGCAGTTCTCACAGCAAATCATTTATAGCTGTCAGTCACTGAATGATTCACGCAGAAAGGTGTTTTGAATTGAGAAACTTTCTTAAAATTAAGAAAGGGATGATAAAAATCCACGAGACCTAACACTAATGTTCTTTAAATAAAGCTCTTCTGATGATCATGTTTTGATCCAAAACCAACATAACCAGACAGCAAACACAACACAAAAAGAAAGCCAATCCAGTGCATAGATTAAATGGATAAGAAAACTGTGAACAGCCTTATTACTGTACACAGCAACACAGTCAGCCAACAGACAGCAGCTTCCTGAAAGCTGGTGTCCAGATTTTAAAGAATCCTAACAGCCTTCTTCCTGTTCTACAGGAATTAGGATGTTACAGTCTGCTTCTATTTAACAGGTAGGGTTTAAAAAGTATAAACAATAAGGGCCCAAGTGAAGCTTAAGAGCTACCAGCACTGCAACACTGCCAAGCTCTGGCTAAAATACAACAGTGAAAAGCGGTGTTCCCTGCTCTCCATCAAGATCAGCCCTTTACCCAGAAGACACAGAACACTGCTACAAGCTCCTGGCTTAGGCACAGTGCGTATGTACATGCATACCCCTGAACTGCTGGAGCAATTGGTTTTGTTTCCCAGCCACAAGAAAGCAGGATGGCTTGCAGTTCATACACCCTCTTCAGGGAGGAAGTTTTTCCACACAGGGTGGGGAGGCACTGGAACAGGATGCCCAAGGAGACTGTGGATGCTCCATCCCTGCAGGCATTCAAGGCCAGGCTGGATGTGGCTCTGGGCAGCCTGGGCTGCTGGTTGGTGACCTGCACACAGCAGGGAGTTGGAACCGGAGGAACATTGTGGTCCTCTGCAACCCAGGCCATTCTGTGATTCAGCTCTGGAGCTGATAGAGCCCCCATTTTCCCTCAGGTTTGTCACTCACTTCTGGCTGCAGCACCCCACGATCAGATCCCCTCGCAGGTCCCACCTGAAGCACCGTGACAGCCGCCGAACAGACTCGGGGCACTCGTGCCCACAGCTGACAGCTGCTGCAGGAGGAGCGCAGCGGCAGGCCGTGCCCACAGAGCTCATCGCACCGCTCGGAAGCAGCAAGACCTCCTATCAGGAGAAACCCCCTCCCTCTCAGCCGAGCACGCACACCCTTTCCCCAACAGGCTCTCCTCGAGCTCCCACAGCGCTCCCAGCCTCCCCCAGCAGTCACGGCCCCGGCGTTGACTTCCCAGCCCGCCCGCCACCCACCATTACCTCACTCCAACCGCCCGCAGTTCAAACTTCCGCGCCACATGACACGCATGCGCGCTGCGGGCCGTCTTTTAAAGGGTGTGCGCATGCGCACCGCGCACTGCGCAGCGCCTCAGTGAACGCGTCTTACTCGGTATGCGCGTGCGCAAAGCGGTGACGGCGCTCCCGGCCGTTCTGAGCATGCGCAGTCGCTGTGCTCTGTCGATGCGTGGCGGTGGGCGTTGCGTTTGGAAACGCATTAACAGGTTTAAAAAATGCAGTCGGCCCAGAGAATTACAAGTCACGGTATAAACATAATATGTTATCAAAGGGATAAATGAGTTCCTGCCCCTTTATCACCACCAGCAAGCAAAAATGGGATTCCAAAAACAGGCTGGCGCTGGGGTTAGTGATGGAGGTCAGCCATCATTGGATTCAGGAACAGCCTTCTTCTGAAGGAGAGAAACAGAAAGGGGAATCCACTTGCTGTCTGCATCTAGTTAAAGAGCCCACAGCAATGGTCTGTGCTGCACACTGCTTTAAATTCTCCTCGTGGTGTCTGTGCAGGTTGTGGTGAGGAGCAGTGCTAGTGGCAAACACCAAATATTGAGCTGGAGATGTGGGAACTGGCTGCGGGAAGGCTGCCGTGCCACAGCGCTTTGCACAGGGCACGCATTGTGGTGGTGCTGTGGGGTTGGTGGTGGATCTACCTGCCTTTTTGGAACTCAAAGTGCTAATAGCTCAGGCCTAGCCATGGCAGAAGTGCCTCTCAGGAAGTAAAGCAAATGGCGGGCACGTTTGGGGTGATCTTGGGATGGTCTCTGGTTGCCCCACCGAGGTGCCCTGTTGGCAGTGCCCTCTGTCTGTGACAATCTGTCACTCTCTGGGGCTCCAGGAGGGGGATTTTGCACGATTCCTGTGTTTGGGCTGCATCTGTTGCAGCAGAGGACTTGAGTCAACTGCACGAGCAAAACGGGGTAGACTGCATGCAAACATCTGTCCGATGCTTATAGTGATACAACACTGATGTTTTACTGTGGATTTAATATCTTTTCTCACTGCCATTCTGTTCTAAAGCAATGTTCCCATGGCTTCCATCCTGTATCGCCTTGTCTTTCTCTGAAATCCCCCTAACGTGATTCTGCCTGGTTTGGGTGCAGTGTTGGAGCACACGGGAAGATTATTTCCAGATGCATCTCCCAAAAGGACCATCTTTCTCCAAGTTTCAAAAAAAAAAGAAGTTTATTTTCATCAATAACGAATAAGGAAAAACCCAGACAAACATCGACAGAAGCAAACAGAACTCAGAGGTAAAACACACTTCTTGTGACACTCCATAAGATTTCAGCTTTGACACACAGGGATTTGGGGTCTTGTGAGAGGACCTCCCCCAGTGGGACGTTCCCACTGAAGTATGGGATGCACAGTGTGACACCCAGACATGCTCAGACCCTCATCTGTTAGCAGTAACCATGGATTCCAAGAAATTGCAGCAGTTTTGGAAAAAGGGATTTATTTTTCTTTTTATTTTCTTCTTGAAAGGGAGAGTTTGACGCTCTTTGCCAGCAGCAAACTATTTGGGAATATGGTAATGGATAAAAGCAATTCTTTAGGCAGTACTGCTTCCCATCCCCTCAGCGGGGAGCCTTATTCTCAGTTGGGAGGTAAACAGATACCATTGCTTCATGTTAAATAGGGAAAAAGTTACTGTTAAGAGGCCACTGCCCTGTTCTAAAGCCTCTGCAAAGCATGGAAATCCAAGATGTAAGTAGTGCATCACGTTTTCCCTGCATCACTGGACCACACAACGGACTGGTCACAGGCAGCAAAGGCTATGGGACACCTCCCTCAAACACAACAATGCTGAGTAGGGTCCATTCCCTGCCTGACAACATAAAAGAAAATGTACATTTGTGCCTGGGGTGACTCTATGGGCTGGGCTGCACAAGCCAGTGCAGGGCAGTGGTAATGTTCTACCCAGCAGTTGATTGCTGAGGCTGTAACATAGCAGAAGTGCATCCAGGCCAACTTTACACTGCTGAGGATCTCAGGTCTTATGCTCAGGGACAAACCCCCACCTCAGGAGTGCCAATGTAGCATGATGAGCTGCCCCCACTCTGGTTTTGCAGCTCCTGCTGAGGCCAATGTTCCTCCAGCCAGGTGCTAACTGCCTCCAAACCATCCTGCTCAAAGCTAGCTTGTATCTTCCTGCATTACAGGCCAGCAGCAAAAGCAAGACTACGGTGTAGACATACCATATATCTCTCAGACCCCAAGTGAAACTTTATTTAGACAGCTGAAAAATATAAATAGGTAAATTAAAAAAAAAAAAAAAAAAAGGATTTTTTCTGGGTGCTTTTGGAGAGAGCTGCCTCGAGGGTCCGTACTCCTCAGACTCACTCCACTAAGATACCTTCACTTTGCCTTTCTCAGGAGCTGCCTCGTGGAGGAGCGGCTGCTCATCCCCATTCACCGACAGCATCCTCTTTTCTGGTGGCTGCTCCTCGGGCTGGCGGGCAATCAGCAGGCGGCAGGTGAGCAGGATCCCAAAGACCAGAGCATGGGCGTAACGCTTGAGCGGGTCCCCCACCAGCTGGTGGAAGAAGAGCACAGCCAGCACGAGCAGGAGGAGCAGAAAGTTGGCCACGTCTTTGGGGCGGCCGGGAACCAGTGTCATGACAATGCCACATGCCACTTCTAGGGCTCCGATGCTCTTGCGGAGAAGGATGGAGCTGACTCCCATCTTCTTCAGCATGGGGAGGGCTCTCACGTAGCTTTTGTAGGCTCGCTTCTGAAACCAAGCATCATGCGGTGATGTGAGAGGGGAGAGGTGACTTTCATTGGCATAGGTAAGCGTGGTATGGTGTAAAGATCATAGAATCATACAATCATACAATCATAGATTGGCCCGGGTTGCAAAGGACCACAATGCTCATCAGTTCCAACCTCCTGCTGTGTGCAGGTCGCCAACCAGCAGCCCAGGCTGCCCAGAGCCACATCCAGCCTGGCCTTGAATGCCTGCAGGGATGGGGCATCCACAGCCTCCTTGGGAAACCAAGATCAGTTCAGTCATCACAAACCCCACTGGTATGATACCCCTCCATAGCCATAAAGCTTCTGATGGAAGGATATTAACACTCCATCAACCTGCAATACTCCTTCAGGAGCTGGAAGACAGCTGTGCAAACTAGCACCCAATGCTGGAGCTAGGAGTGTGTTAAGCACTCCTTCTCCCAAAATCTGAAGTTACCATTGCTACGATCAACAATGCAGAACCATGTTTAAAAAAAAAAACAACTGTCTGAGAGTATCATGCCCTTAAATAACACACCTCATCCCCGCCAAGCCAGGGCACAGAAGGTGGAAGAAATCACTTCCCATCTCAAAACAACACAAAGTACCCCAGGGTTTGTGGGCAGGACAGACTCAGGGTGGGACAGACAACGCATCAGAGCTCAGATTCACCTTTGTGAGTCCTGCTCCTGCTCTTACACACCTCTGTGATCCTTTCTTTCCTCAGATAAAAGCAAGCAGGCACTTGACATCCTTGCCCTCTGATTCATGCTGGATTTAGAAGCACTGTGAGCTGCTGCCAGCCTCCTTCCACAGCTGCCTCCTTGTTTCAGGGGAGAAGCAACCTCTGTCCTTACATGCACTCAAGTTCTTGCATTTGAACATGAGGTATAGGTGGGTTTGCACATTTACTTCCCAAGCAGTTTTGGAAACCTGCGTTGTGGGCACACAGAACTTCTCTACTTCTCCGTGAATTTTAAGAGAAGCTGATGATGCTGTGGTTGAACAATATTCAGTTTTGTCATTTTTGATACCAAACAAAGATCCTTTGACCAAGTGGATGTAAGGTCAGGATGTGCTTTGAGACTTCTGTCAACAAAAGCTCTCCTGAAGGCAGCAGTTTTTAACAGATAGATAAAGCAGTGGGTTGGTGGTACGCCCTACAGCACTCTGGTATTGCCATAAACAAACAGCTGTGCGTGCTTTTTGCTGAGTGGGAAAATAAAACTAATAAAATCACTGCACATTTGGGTAAACAGCAGCGGTTCTGTGTTTGCTTGGGGCAAGAAGTCACACACCGATGAGCAAAATCAGGTTTTCATCCCCATCTTATCTATTTAACGTATCACCCTGGTTTACTGTGCAGCAAAAGCATAGGAACCTAACGAGCCTCATCACAGCGCAGGGCATTAGGAATGGTGTTGTTGCCCAATCTCTGAATGCCTCCACCTCCTCCTTGTAATAAAAACAGAGATCATCCCTACCTGTAGGCCTCACTCCTGGCAAAGCATAAACCCACAGAGAAGCCCAGTGCTATGCAGTGAGCATTCTGCAATGCTGCCAAAGCCTCAGTGCCTTATTCCTACACTTCACTGAGGCAGCAGGAGCTGGAGAGCTTTGTTTTCTGGACATTTTCTCCTCACTTCTCAGTCCTGAGTTATTCTGCAACACTGTCCTCTATCAGAGACCTGTGCAGGTCTGCAGACACAGCACTGCCATTCAGATGTTATTTGAGAGCTAAGGAAAAGCAGGTGCAGCGATGGGAGAGAACAGAACGTGCTGGAAACTTCCATCACTATTTCTTACGGGCCCAAGAATTACACCGGCGCTTTTCCACCACTGCAAAGAATAAAATGAAAATGGAGGAGGGCAGGAGAATAACCCAAGGCAGATGGGAGCAGAGGGCCAGCCCTTGCTCTTGCTCTGGGATTCTCCCAGCTGATAAATGCACGCGGTGCCATCCCCTTCCTTAGCACCCTATGGGGGAGAGGTCCATTTCCCAGAGCACAGGGAGTCATGAGGGGATTCTTCACATCTCCTTCTGCCCGCTAAGAATCCCACAGCATCTCACGGATGGGAATTAATCTCCCACAAGCCCGGTGAGGTGGGGACACTCAGTGCCATTGCTCCTACAGGAAAGCACCCACAACATCGAGTGTGATGCGAGGCGGGCATTGCCCAGGGATGGCCGGACCCGCAGCCCCTCCCCAGACCCCGCACCCCGCATCCATCCTTCCCCCATCTTTAGGGACCAGCGGTGCCATCCCATCCTCCTCGCCCCGCACCGGAGCTTTCTCGCAGGAGGATGCCCGCATCTTCTCGCTCGGTTCCTCCCGTACCCAGCGGTTGGCTCCCTCCCTCCCATCGTTGTTCCGCAGCGGTCGCGGTCCCCACCCGAGAGCCTCACGGCCGCCTCTCCGCCGACCTCACCATCTCGTTGTAGGCATCCCTGCTGAGCCGCGGGGTCAGCTTGATGGTCCCCATGAAGACAAAAAAGAGCCCCAGGGCCACCGAAAGGGCGACGATGGTGATGGTCCTGGGGGATGCCATCGAGCCGCCGGGATGCGGTCCTAACGCGGCCTCCGGGCTGCGGTCACCATGGAGGGAACCGAGGAATAACGCTGCAGAGGCAGCGGCAGGGATGCGGCCTCTCCGCCCCGCGGCCGCCGGGTCCTAACGCCCGCCCCGCAACACCCCGCAACTCCGGGCACGGGCTGCCGCTCCCGGAGCCCCGCGTCCCTATAAGGACGGAGCAACCCCGCTGCCAGCTCCTCCCCGTGTGTGTAGCGCTCCACAGCAACCGTTTCCTGATCCCGTGTTGATTTGCTTTTGGATTTTTTTTTTGATGTGAAGTCATTCTCTCTCTCCCCTCCTTTGATTTGTGGTCGATTTCCTTTTGGCAGGACAGCCTAGCAGAGATCTGTTTCCCACCTTACAGCAAGAAGTCGAGGTATAATTATACAAAGCAATGTTGCTGGAGAACCACCTCTGCTTTGAAGCCGGGCTGTGAGATGGGGCAGCTCAGCGTGGGGAAAAGAGGGCTGCAGGGAGAGCTCAGTGCAGCTCCGGAAGGGATTTTATAAGCAGCACGGGGACTGACTTTTTACAGGGGCAGATAGTGGCAGAAAGAGGGAGAATGGCTTTAAACTAAAATGAGAGAGGATTAGGTTAGAGGTTAGGAAGAAATCCTTTACAGGTGGTGAGGCCCTGCACTGCTGCCCAGAGAGCTGTGGGTGCCCCATCCCTTGGGACATTCAAGGCCAGGTTGGATGGAGCCCTGCACAGCCTGAGCTGCTGGTTGGCAGCCCTGTGCATGGCAGGGGGTTGGAATTAGGTGATTTTTATGGTCCCTTCCAACTTCAGCCATTCTATGATTCCATGAACAGCATCCCTCACTGTGAGCTGAAAACGAGAGGGAAAGCATGCAAAGGGGCAGCACGAGGGAACCTGCCAGCAGTGTGCCCATCACCTCCCTTCTGCTGTAGGATCTGCTCTAACAAGCCCCAGGTCCTGACCCTATGCATTTGAAGAGCCCAGTGAAGGTGGCTGGCACTGTCCCAAGCTCTTAGGGACATGGCTTAGTGGGGAATACTGGCAGTAGGTGTACAGTTGGACTTGATCTTAGAGGTCTTTTCCATTCTCAATGATCCTGTGATCCTTAGGGTTCTTTAGGATCAAATCACAGCTGTGAGAGATACCAGCAGGCAGAGTCTTTAGGGCAGAAGCTCTCCCTGTTTCCTTAGAAGTTTGCCAACCTCCGTTCAACCAATTTCTTCTTTCTGAGGAAACTCAACGCCCGACTGTAGAAACATTCTGCAGACTGAGATCTACCTCCAATTTGCAGTAGTTTCATTTTCTGAAGAGCTGGAGAGAGTTTCAAGCACCTTTGAGGCTTGCAGCTTGCCAGCCAATGAGAAGAGCATAACACACAAATACCTTCTATTCATTTATACAATTAGCCTGGTTTATCTATTTATTTGGCTATTGCAGAGCAACCCAATGAGAAAACGACTTCCAGAAATCATTATGTTCCCATATAGATTAGGCAACCCGCAGTAAGAGCAAATGGAAAATAACTCATTTCTTGAGATTCATATAAAAATAAGTTCAAGTCGCAGCCACATCCGCTCCTTAAGGACATCAGGAGGTCGCTTCCTGAGCTCGCAGAGCTGCAAACCTCCTTGCTGTCAGCGGGTGAGCAGCAGCACCAGCTCACAGTGAGCAGTGTGAGGGAACATGTCAAAAGGGACAGCCAGCGCGGGGCTAAACGGCTCTCCTTCCAGCTTCTTCCTTGGGTCAGGGGGGCAGCACAGCCTGCAGGAAGAACAGCATTGAAGGGCGACCTTCAGACCTGCCCTGTAAGCCTTCCTGTGCCATTAGCTTCACGGAGGAGGCATTAAGAGAGTATCTTTAGGTTGGCTAACATCCGTCAGCCCTCGGCTGGGTGATTAACCCTAAGGAGGTGATGGCTAATCCCAGGAGCTGGCTTTGCTCATTGGCTGGAGGCCCACCTTCCTGCAGGGAGCGTGGGGATGTGGTGTCCCACACCCTGCTGCACTGTTATCATAGAATTATGCAATCCTAGAATGGCCTGGGTTGCAAAGGAGCACAATGCTCATCCAGTTCCAACCCCTGCTGTGTGCAGGGTCGCCAGCCAGCAGACCAAGCTGCCCAGAGCTACATTCAGCCTGGCCTTGAATGCCTGCAGGGATGGGGCATCCACAGCCTCCTTGGGCAACCTGCTCCAGTGCCCCACCGCCCTCCTTGTTATACTGGGAAGGGCTGTGCACAATGTCATTACAACACCTTTGCATTTTTTTCTACCCCTGAATGATGCATTCTGCTGGCACTCAGCATCAGGAATACCCACTGCTTCAACCAATGCAGCTTGCAGGTAAACCCAAAGCAGTGCAAAAGCACAAACCACTTCTGGCCACACACTGACCGGGGTCCCACCTGCAGAATTAACCCTGTGAAATTAGGTAACAACAAACTCCCCCCATGTGCTGAGGACAGATCCTCAGGTCCCCGTTCTCAGGGCACGCAAGTGTCACTAATGTCAGCAGAAAAGAAAAGAGGAGGCTGCTCACTCAAGGAAGTTCCTCATGGCTTCACCTTCCGGCTTGCAGGAGATGTAGAGCAGCCTTCGGATGGCCCCGCAGCTCCGGATGGCCCTCACAACCCTGTGATCTGCAACAGCACAGCACCATCTCACCATGTCCTGGTGACACTCCAGCTCCTGGGGACACCCCACTGCAGTGGGCAGCATCTGGGCTCTAGGACCACTGTGAGACTTCCCAACACTGGCCCAAACCAGTAGAGGCCATGAGGGTGGTTGTAGGGCCAGAGTGAACATCTAGAGAATGAGTGAGCTGAGGGCTTGGAGCCAGCACAACAGCTCACACACAGCTTGCTCAAAACTTTCTCTTCAAGGTGAAAATAAATGGTATATCCTTACGGATCCCAGCCCGGGATGGGTTCACCACTGCAACAAGGGGTCGGGCATCCTCCCACGATGAGAGCAGCTCTGGTAACACAGCCTCTGCCTTTCCACTGTGAAATTCACAGTTTGAAATTCCTGCAAAGCGAAAGCAGACACACGAACAAGGTGCACTCTCAGATACCCTAACACAAAATCCCACTCTTTGCTGACTGGAGGGAGTAGTTAGGAGCAACCTTTCACTTTTGCTTCAGGTTTCTCAGCAATGGCAGTGGTTGAACTTACCATTGAATGCTGCATTCCACCTGGCATCCTCTATTGCCTTCTGCACTATCTCAACACCAATGACCTTGGACACGTGGCGAGCCAGAGAGAGACCAATCGTGCCTGGAAACCAGGGATGCACAAACACACTGCATTTCAGTGTAGGAAAACAAGCATTGGAGATAATGTTGGGCATGGAAAGCACCAGCCCCAGGGAGCTGTGGTGCCCCATCCCTGTAGCTGGACTGAATGGGGCTCTGGGCAGCCTGAGCTGGTGGGGGGCACCCAGCTCACAACACAAGTGGGACTGGGTGGGTTTTAAGGTCCCTTCCAACCCAACTGTTCTATGATTCATGCTGCTCACCCGTCCCACAGCAGACATCGAGGAGCACAGTGTTTGTGGCAGCCTGGCTCAGCTCCCTGACTGCCCGGTACAGCACTTCTGCTCCTCTCGTGTTCACCTGGAAAAAGGCATCTGGGGAGATGCGAAATGTCAGGTCCAGCACGTCTTCGAAGATGTGTGGCTCTCCATGAAGGAGCTGGAAGGGTGACTGCTCATGGGAACAGCGTGTCATGGTGCTGGAAGGACACATAAAATGACACCCTGCTGGGGGGGCGGCGTTTCATTGCCCCTTTCCTGGGGTGCACGTTTGCTTTTATTCCATACGAGCATTTCAACAAGATCAAGGAATTGTGACACTTTTAAGGGATCTGCAACTGAGAATTGAATTGGGTCACAACGATGTAGCGGGGTTGTGGCCCTTTGTAGAGGTTTGTAGCCCTCTTTTGCTGCTGATGCAATTTGGGAATGATAGAACCATTGGATCATTTAGGTTGGAAAAGATCCCTAAGACCACTGAGTGCAGCCATCAGCCTGGCAGTACCCAGGTCATGTCTAAGAGCACTTTAGGTTTTCCCTTTTGTTCCCCAGGCTCAACGCTCCCATGGGGCAGAACCAAATCAGTACCTCTCCTGGAAGTACAGTGACGTCAGGGCACACGCTGCTCCAGGTCCGCAGGTGAAGAACTCTCTCAGCAGTGCTTTCTGAGCATCCAGAGCCTCCTGGAAGAGAGGAAAGGAATGGTCGCTTCAATATGCCCATAGAGACATCCGTGACAGCCATTGGGATGGCCTGGAGCTGGCCCAGTCCCACTCACCCGGCCCAGCTGCTGGGGGTGGAAGGTGACGATGGCCATGGTGTGGCCGTGCTGGGAGGTGCGCACCACCAGCTCCCTCCAGTGCCCACCTTCATGGAACAGGATGCAGGAGCCCAGCGGGGAGCGGTGGATGAACTGCTCATAGCACTGCATGGAGCACAGCACAGTGAGGGACACAGCCTCATCCTCGTGTGATGCTGTGCCCCAAACAGCGACTGTTCCACCATTGCCCTCTGTGCTATCTCGGGTCGAGAGAAAACTCTTTGCGAGGAAAACAACACGTTTCAATCGTCCCACTTGGTGCCTCTCGTCTGTTTTAAATAGCAATTAATTGCTGCTTCATTAACTTCACTCCAGGGGATGCTTCTGAGGTTCCGGCATTAACTTTTGTGCTTCAAAAGGCATTTTTTCCATTGGCCAGAATCAAAACAGATCCAAGAACAACACATAACTACACATCCATAGACATACACATACACACTGGATGGACACAAACATACAACCAATGCAGCGTTCCCCAAGCACCCTGTCTGTTCTCCCACCTGCAGACAGACGTGGTATTTACTTTACCTGGGCCACTTGCTTGTGCTTTAGGGGTATGTTCTTCATGTGGTCAGTTCTCACGCAGACAATATTTCTTGCTGGAGAGAGAGATGGGTATTTGAGGGGGTTGTTTCACTGCAAACCATGCAGCGTGCAGTGCTGTAAGCTGGAGAAAAGCCTTTGCTCTGAATCACCCCATTGTAAAAAAGAGAAGAAAAGGGGATATGTAAGCCCAGCAGCTCTCACCCAGCACCACCCCTGGTCCCATACTGACCTCTGCCCGTCCCCACATACAGCCCCACTGTTTTGGGGTTCCCATCCGGCCCTCGGTTCACGGAGAACGTGGATTTGTTGCGGTACCCATTGATGGTGGGCTGAGGGAGGAAAGAAGGAAATCAAAGCCTTGCACAAGGGCTGCTCCAAAAGTGATGCTTCCTGTTTTATGATGTTGGCCCACAATGTCAGAGGCAGACGCTGCGGGGATGGCAGTAGGGGCTGAAGCTTCCCAATAATATCCTGATTCCTTTTGTTGCTTTGTGACAGATGGCAGCAGAGGGACAGTCTGACAGAATGCCGTCTGACGTGGGAGTGCAGATGAAGCAAAGGGGTGTCAATAAATTCTTCCATGCATAAAAAGTGGCACCCGTTGCCATTCAACAGCACTTGCTGGGCATTTGTGGAGCCCAACCAGTGGATGCAGCACAGTGGCTGCTGTGCTTCAGCAGCGGTGACAGCAACAGCGGTGACTGCTTCTGGTGCAGATTTGTATGAGTGCAGCATACAGCTCTTGTTCTGCAGTCTGCAAAGCAGAAGGCAGCAAGGGAGCTCCTCTGGAACCAACCATGGGCACTCACCGAGGGGACCACGGGCTGCAGGGGACAGCAGAGCCCTCCGGGATCCTGCACACCTCCTCCCAGCTCCAACAGATGTGATGTCAGGATCTGCAGAACCTCCCTCAGGCTTTCATACTTCACCTACAGAGCAGTCCAAAGCCAGGAACACTCCCACAAGACCACACAGCCTCTGTGTACCACACAGCAATGGAGACACCATGGCCCCAAGGGTGGGTCTGGGGTGTTGGAGCAATGAAGCCTCCATTAACCTGTCCTGCACTGGGCAGGGCCTGGGCATCTTTTGTGCTTTAGAATAACTCAGGAATGAAGGCAGCAAAGGGTGGGGTTTAGGGACTTGGCTCAGCGAGCATGGTGGGGATGGGTTGGGGTGAGATTTGGTGATCTTTGAGGTCTTTTCCAATCCTAATGATTCGGTGGAGTTGGACCAGCTGCTGTGCCATATCCTAAGGGCAGTTGCTCAAGGGCATGGAAAGGGACAGTTGGGGCAACATGATGGAGAAATTCCAGCTTTGCACACCTTACCTGCAGCTGCTCCTGGTATGGAATTCTCCACAGCGGTGTCGCTGCATCTGCCAACCTGGAAAGCACAACAGCTCAGAGCTGCTTGGGGTGGGAGGACCCGGGAGCCACAACAAACACAGGAGCCACAGCGAGCACAGGACAGACTGAGCCTGGGCCCCCGCTGTCCTGGATGAGCCCCCATTAGAAGACAGAGCCAAGAACAGCCCTGTTTCCCTGGAGGTTTCCCATAGAAGAACAAGACACTCCTCTCATTGCTCACTGCACCCTCTGCCTGCTCGCATTGCTGGTCACTGCTGTGAAAGCTGCATGGGATGAAGCTCAGTGTGGACCAATGCAGTTTCTGTGCTGCATAAGGGGAATTACTGGCTCGTGAACATGGCCAGCCCTCCAGCAGCAGCTGGGAGATGAATCTTGGAACCCACTGATATTTATATCCAAGCCAAGGAGAGCAGGAATGCAACACACAAAGCTGCCTTGCAATGAAAATAAGGGAGGATGGGGCAAGATGAATATCCAAGCTGTCCTAAGTGTCTATCACGTGCTCAGCTGGATATATTGCTGTTCTTCCCTAGTGGGGCTTTGGGAGCTGCATCCAAATCACCAGCTGATTTCAAGCACAGAACTGTGAATCACATGGGTGAGTACTTCCTCTTTGCCAGTAGGGCAGTTGCTCTGTCCCAGCTCCTTCCCTCTTGCTTAGACCTCTTTGTTTGCCCTTTCCATTACTTCTGTCCCAGCTGAGACTCTCATTTCTACCTGAGAAGCGGATGGAGGTGAAACCTTTAAGCTCTCAGTGCAGCCCTTTGCTCTGGCACTGACAATCACAGCCAGGCTGGTGCTTGCTGAGGGCAATAAACACCACGATTGCTCAGGGTTCTGACAGCGGACAGCTGAGCTGTGCATGCAGTGTACAACACACAGACCTTCCTAACGGCAGCCCTCCATACCCAAATGCTCCCCCACCACACGCAGCACACACCTCCCACTGCCGTACCTCTCTTCCCAGGAGGATGCTGGCAGGCTGCGGCCCTCCCCATCCTTCCTCCTTCTCCTCTTGGCTGCTCTCTCCCCTGTTGGCTGTCGGCAGTCCCACCCAGGCAGGCTGCTCAGGAACACGGGCTGTGGGGTCAGCAGGCGGAGGCACCGGCAAGTCAGCATGGATACATGGGGCAGAGCCATGGCAGGCAGTAGAAGGGCTGCTCAGAGCCCTGCAGCCCACTGTGCACCCCGTGGTGTCACAGCAGATGTCACAGCTGTGAGCCCCAACTGCACCTGGAATAGAGCAGCAACAGGCGTGATGCTTCTGCAGTCCTTTCCATCCTCAGATTTGAGTGTCATAGAGAATGTCATGAATTCCCCATGGATTAGAGCACGACCGCTCAGCTTTCCCAGCGCAAAGATTCTCAGCAGTGACCCAGAGCTACCGGTGCAGTGATTTGGGCTCATGTGAACCTCCTGAAGACATCCCAGGCCTGGGATTAACGTTGCATAGGCATCATTACAGTTACCGTAATGAGGCAGAGCAGAACGGCTGCTGCTTTGCATAACCACCACATAACACTCTACTAATAATTTACAGCATAATATTCCAACAGTGTCATGGATCAGGATTGAGAAGGACACGGTCTCAAGTACGCTTGAAGCATGAATTTATTTATTTTTTGCTTCACCACGTGACACATCCATCACCAGTTTAACTACACAATAAACAATCATCTCTGATTAAAGCATCTATCAGCTAAAATTCTTATCCAGGCAATAACAGCCCCGGGGTAACGTGAGGAGGGGGAGGGGGGGCTCCTCTTACATGCAAAGGGAACGAAAAATTGCTTTTCACCTGGGCAAGCTGCAGGCTGCAGCCATGGCAGTGCAGAATCCAACGGGTGCAGGGCAGCAGCGACTGTGTGCTGCCACGGGGCTGTGCTGGGCTCACAGTGGGATCACACCGGGGCCATATTGGGGTCACAGCGCAGCGGAACCGCCGCCACTTCCCGACAGCCCCCGCGGCTGCGCGTCACCTCCTGCCTGCCAGAGATAACGATGCCTGTGCTGCTTTGAGCTAGAAATGAAAAGGATGTCGGTTTGCATCCCACCGCCTTCATCCTGGGGCGGGGGGTGAGATGTGGGGCACCCAGCAGTGAGCGCAGCCCTGCAAGCCCTGCGGCTTCCACTGTGGGGGAGGATGGCTGCGGGGGGGGGGGTTGTGCACGCTGAGCACTGCACACAGGCACCGCTGTTGCAGTGCTGAGGCTTCTGAACCGCACACTGCTGCAGCTCGTCAGCACTGATCGGAAAAGAAAAACAGCGTTGTGACCTTTGTATGCAGCTTTCCATAGGAAAAGCTTTGCTGGCTGTGTTTTCCCCCCACCTCTGCTAAAGAGATCATCACAGAATCATAGAATGGCCTGGTTTGCAAAGGAGCACAATGCTCATCATTTCCAACCCCTGCTGTGTGCAGGGTCACCAGCCAGCAGCCCAGGCTGCCCAGAGCCACCTCCAGCCTGGCCTTGAATGCCTGCAGGGATGGGGCATCCACAGCCTCCTTGGGCAACCTGTGCCAGTGCCTCACCACCCTCTGTGTGAAATATCCCTCTCTCCTGCTCATCATACAAAGAGAAAAGAGGACTGAAGCTGCTTATACCTTGATTGGAAAAATCAGATCAATCAGTCTTTAAGGAAACATTTTATTCTCCCAAGTATTATTCAGGTGTTGGAGTCTTGTGGTCACTATGGCACTTTGGTCTTAATGAACCCCCACCCCTCACTGCCCAGCTGTGCTGCCCAATAGGGAGTGCATGCTGCTGCTCCACCTCTGCACTGCCCTAAGAATAAGGGAACAAATGAGGTGTGGGCATAGAACATGATAAAAATACAGAGAAATATCTTCTGCAGGAAGGGAACAGGCGCTGATGAAGGCAGCAACTCTTGCACATCTCTCATGGGTTTCTCTTTTGGAGCTGCTGCAGAGCAGCAGAGCTGAGAAACTCAGAGCCAGCTGCTCCTGTTGGGGGTTGGGGGCACCGCAGCCCCTCTGCCCATTGCAATCTTCCTGAAGCAATGGCCCCAAGCGAGCTGTGCTGTGCCCAGGAGAGCTGCCAGCCCCTGCAAATGTGCTGGTGAGAGGGGCAAAGAGCTAAAGGAAACCCTGAGCTCAGTGCACAGAGATGTGGGGCTGAGTTGAGATTACAGAGGCTGCAGTAATAAGAGAATACAGCTGTTGCTGACATGGTTTGAGGTTGCAGGGCTGCAGCATTTCCTGGCAGGTCTGTAGTGCAAGTCTGGCAGCGCTCACCTCTGGGCTCCATCATGGAGCAAAATATTCCCCTGCTCCATAAGTGATGTTTTGATGTCTCCTCATCCTTCCCTGATGCTTTTGCACTGCACCTTCTCCTGTCCCATCCCTTTCTTCCTCTCTTTGGTGAGAAGACGATGTGTCCTTAGTAATGATTCCCATTCCCCTTCTCACTCCTCTCCTCTCCTCCATCTGCCTGCAGCTCTGCTCCTGCTCTCTGGGCTGCCTGGGGTTCCCAGGCCAAAGCCAAATCTCCTTTGGCACTTCCAGCTTCATTTGTGCTTGGAAATATGCTCTTCACCTATGCCAGCTGTGGTAGGAACAAGCAAGGTCCCAGTTGTCCTTTCCTCCTTGTTTACTCCCATGGAGGCTCTGACCCTGGTGGTGTTACATGAGTCGTAGAGTCATGGAATCATTATGGCTGGAAAAGACCTCAGTGAATCACCGAGCCCAACCCCGACCCATCACACCATGCCCTCTAAGCCATGTCTCATGGAGTGGTTCCATCTTCCCAGCAAGTCTTGTCCCATAAATACCAGTGGCCAGAGCCAATCTGCAATGAGGAAATCCCATTTTCTGGACCTTGACCCTACAGTTCTGTCACAGACCTGCTGGGGGTCAGCCTGCCCTGGTTGCTCAGCAGGGCTCCCTTCAGCCTGCCCTGGATGGTGCAGAGCACGGCCCTGCGGAAACTGCTGGACAAGAAAAAGAAGATGATGGGGTCGAGGCAGCTGTTGAGGGCTGAGATGCAGAGCACGAGCTCGTTAGCAAGGTGCAGACCTTGCTTCCAGGGCAGGCTGGAAATGGCCCCGATCTGCGCCAGGATGTAAGGGATGCGGACAGTGTGGTAGGGGGTGAAGCAGACGATGAAGATGATCAGGACCACAAAGGTCTTGGTGATGGCTCTCGTGCTGGTCTTCTTGTTCAGCTGCTGGGCCTTCACTGAGGAGACCTGGTGCAGTTTGGCAAATATCTTGCTGTAGAAGTAAAGGAAGAGCAACAGCACGATGAAGAAGGCAGCTACTGCGGCCATGTTGAAGGCTGCTGCCATGGTGCTTTTGCTCCTGAAGTGGAAGCATTTATGGTCACAGGGTCCCTTCCCTCTTTTCTCAAAAAAGAAAGGCAGCATGAAGGCAAAGTTCACCACCCAAACCATCCCAGAGGCCAATGTGCTACAGGATACGGTGTGAATCCTGTATTTCTGGAGGGGCCGGATGATCTTCAGGTAGCGGTCCAGGCTGATCAGGCTGAGGAAAGTGATACTGACATACATGTTGAGGTAGAAGAAGGCCCCAACAATATTGCAAAAGACACGGGGCTCACTCCTGTCCTGGAAGGCGATGCGGAAGGGCAGGCAGAGGGCCAGCAGGAGGTCGGAGAGGGCCAGGTTCCTCATGTACACAGTGATGGAGGTCTGGCGCTGCATGCTGAATGAGAACACCCAGAATGCCAGCACATTGCTGAGCAGCCCAACAGCAAAGATCAGTGAGTACATCACAGGCAGCGTCACTGAGAGGAACCCGTCGTGGATCTGACAGCAGGAGTTACCCAGGAGCTGCTGAGTGACTTCAATGGCAGGAGGGGGGGTGCTCTGAGGGTCCATCGTAAGCATTCGGACCTGGAATGAGATGTGCAGGGAGAGCTGCAAGGGGTATTGGGGTTAGCTGGAGGCATGCGGGCATTGGGATGCACAGGGAGCACAGCCACCCGTGGTACCCAGTGCCCCAAATGCAATGGGAAAATGGCTCTGGGCAAAGAACATGTTCTGCCTGCTCTCTGTAGGGAAATGTCCACTGAGGATGTGCCCATTAAACACTGGCAGCAAAGCAGAGCCCGTTCCTGCCTGTCCCAGCTTCTCTCAGCTCTGTGCCATGAGGGAGGTTGGGAATGGGCAGATGAGACTGTGGCTGTGTGTGAGGTGAGCTGCTTAACAGTGTCTGGAGTGGGGGGTCAGCCCACCCCAAGCTCTGATTTCACACAAGTGACAAAACAGGTACAGCAAATATGAATTTGGGATATGTGCAGCCCAGGGACCCAACGCTGTGCACTTGGACATCCTCTGCCAGCACCTGCCCCACTGGGACCACCTGCAGAACCCTTTGCATGCCCATGAGCTCCTGCGTGCCCCAGTGCCTCCCTCCCCTTTCCACTTTCCATGATGCTGAGTGATGGAGAGCTGCAGAAATCTCCAGCTTCCCTCCCACATACCACAACTTCTCTAATGCCCTTCTCTGTTCCCTCCACACCTGCCCAGCATACCCGGACAGCAGGGCAGGGCAGCATGCCTGCATGAAGGCTGCAGAGCTCCATGAGCTTGCTGCTTGCAACTCACAGTGGTAAAAAGCCGCAGGGGACTGAGTGCCCCTCATTCACAGCTCACAGCTCACTGCATAGCAACGTTGCCACCAAGCACCTGATGGTTTGAGAGCAGCATGCTCTGCCTGACACCCATCACAGTGCTCTGCATACACTTCGCAAGGGCCAGCACAGCCCCTGTGCATACAGACAGCACAGTTTGCATGTAAAGGTAGCCCTGCAGCACGCGTTGTGTGTCTGTATGGCACAGCAACATGGCCACCACCTGCAAATGATCCCATGCCACAACCCTGCACAGCCCCAGGCTCTCCCTTTCAGCTCTGAGCATGGCCCCCCACCAGCTGGCAGCCCTGACCCGGAGCTGCCCACCTCACCTGGCACTCCTCAGCTCCTGCACCGGCTGTGACAGAAGTTCCTGTTCCTCGTGGCCCCTATAAGCCCTTGGCTGGTGATGACACCTCCCACCCCACTTCCCTCCCACATGGGCTTGCCTGGTTTTCCCCTCCTGGCCCTTGTGGAGGGGGTTGTGCAGGAGGTAAGTTCTGCAGTGCACCCAGGTACACAGGACACAAATAGGCTGATGGTGCAGGAGGTGTGAAAATGCCCAACAGAAGGGGGGTGAGAGGGCAGAAGGAAAGAGGGCTCAGATTTGAACCCATGGCAATGCTCCTTGGGTACCTGGCACCAACATCCGACCCCAACAGAACACAAATTTCAGCAAAGTGTGGGCAGGATAGGAAATGTGCCAGGAGGTGCCTTGTTCCATCCACGGAAATCTCAGAGCTTGGTGAGAGGAAAGCGGAGGCCACTGAGCCCATTTTCTCCTCGTCTTGGTAAGTCGTGCTGGCTCAGCCTCACCTCCTGCCCTCGCTGAGTCAATCTAAAAGATAAACCCAACCTGTCAGACAGAGAGCAGAGAAATAGCTGTGACTAGAGAAAGCCTGGGGATCTTCAAGGGCACTTCTACAGCATCAGCTCGCTGGTGTCAGTCACTCTGCAACGTGTACCTCTGGGTACCTGCACCCACGGAGGCACAGAGCACATCTGCTCCTGGCAGTGCTTAAGGACGGAGCAGCAAGCAGCAGACTCCTGGTTTCTGCCACCTTGTGCAGCAGCCAGAGAGCAGCAGGAGGAGAAGCGAGGCACGGCTTGTGCGGAGGACAGCTTTCCTGAGACCAACGCGCACTGCTGGGTGGCAGCAGCCCGACTGCACACTGCCATCCCGTGGGCTCTCTGCGGTTTTGAGTGCAGGAAGAGCGCTGCCTGCGCACGGTGGGTGTTTGGGGGGGAGGCAGATCAGCGCTACGCCACAGCACTGTCAGCCTGGGGGATTTTGTGCTGCAGAGGGATGAGTTACATTATCCACCTTGCAGTTTCAGTCAGCAGCTTTGTGGAACGCTCTGAGAGTCAATAGGTCAGACGGGTTTTCTTAGAATTCCGGGGGTGCTCATTGCATGCACTGAACTTCACCACCCATGTGAAATACCGAGCGTGAGCTTCGCTCTCAGACCTCAACACCTGCACCACCCTTTGGGACCGAACTTTTACCCACGCAGGGAAGTTCCCACCGTGCAGCATCCGCACGGCACTCTGAGTGGGTTCAACGGGGCAGAAAGTTGAGCACCTCCTGTTTAGCACAGCGTCTGGAGACAGGGAGGAGCCAGCCCTGGCCTGCGCGCCCTCGGGACCGCTGCTGCCGGGCAGCCGCAGAGTACCGGGCTGCACCGAGCGCCGGGCTGCCCGCCGGCCAGGGGGCGGGGCCTACACGATGTGACCACGCCTCGTAGATGGGCGGGGCTGATACTAGGCCACACCCCCATCTGCGCCCCTCCCCACCTGACCCGGTAGTGGATGCTGATTGGTCAGCGGAATAAGGCTCCAAGGGGGACGCGACGTGATTGCGCCACTTCCTGGCGACGCGCGATGCTGGCGGCGGCGGGTGGCTCGGGGCCCGGTGGGGCGGGCGGCTCCGGGCCCGGGCCGGGCCCCGGCGGCGGGGATGGGGACTTCCTGTCGCGTTACCGGCTGGTGTCCGCCAAGCTGCGGCGGCGTTTCCTGCGGAAACCGAACGTGGCGGAGGCTGCGGAGCAGTTCGCGGCGCTGGCGCGGGAGTTGCGTGCCCAGGAGAGCCTGCCCTACGCGGCCTGGTGCCAGCTGGCGGTGGCGCGCTGCGCGCAAAGCCTCTTCCACGGCCCCGCCGAGGCGGCGGCGCTGGGCGAAGCGGCGCGGCTCTTCCTGCGCCAGGAGCGGGACCTGCGGCAGCGCCTGGCCCTGCGCGGCGGTTTCGGCGAGCACCTGGCGGCGGCGCAGAGCTGTGGGGCCTTCGCCGCCCGCCTGCACCTGGAGCGGGGGCAGCCGGCACTGGCGGCCGGGCTCTGCCTAGAGCTGGCGGCAGCGCTGCGCGATACGGGCCGGCCCGCCCGCGCCGCCGCGCACTTCCAGAGGGCTGCCGAGCTCCTGGCGGCCGCTAAGCTGCCCCTGGAGGCGCTGCGCTGCTTGACGGAGCGCGCCTCCTGCCTGCTGCTGGGCCGTGATTACTCCGGGGCTCTGGCGGCGCTGACGCGGGCGCAGGCGTTGGCTGGAGCCGGGATCGGGGGGAGCGGCGGGGCCGCGCCCGGCGGAGCCTTCCTGGACGCGCTGGTGAGCTGCGAGGTGTCGCGGGTGCTGCTGCTGCTTCTCCTGCAGCCGCCGCCCGGCAGGCTGCCGCCCGAGCACGCCCGCACGCTGGAGCAGTACTGCTGGGAGGCGCCCGAGGGCGGCACGGCGGGAGGAGGGCTGCCTGCGGCCGCCAGCTACCTGCCCTCAGAGCTCTTCCTGCTGCTGCAGTCCGCCGTACTGGCCTGCCAGGAGAAGGACGCGGCCGCGCTGCGGGCTCTGCAGGCCGAGCTGTGGCCGCTGTTGAGCGCCGAGCAGAACCACCTGCTGCACCTGGTGCTGCAGGATATGCTCAGCCCCGCGGGACACGGGCTCTGAAAGCCGCTCGGACTGTCACTGGACTGTGCCCGGACGGTCCCTGCTGCCTCGGGACTGCGGAATTCGCGTGCGCGGGGAGCTGCCGGCGGGACGAGCTCGGGTCGCGTGGCCCCGCCGGCGGGGAGCGTAATGCCGTGTTACGGTCGAGCTCAGCGTCTGAAATAAAGCTGCGGTGCTAGCGCGCTCCCTGGCTGCAGCGATTGGTTCGTGGGGCGCGGGGCGGGGCCGTGGAGTGGGCGGGGTCATCGAGGGCGTGGTCACGCATGGCGGGATAGCTGTGGCTCCGCCTACCTGGTGTCACGTGGTGACGCGGGGGCTGTCGGGAAGGGGCGGCCTTTCCGCTCTCGGCGCGGCGGCTGCACCACGCGGCGTGGCCATGGCGGACGGGGACGGTGCGCGGCGGGGCGGCGGAAGGGAGATCGGAGTGGGGCGGGAGGGGGCCGGCGGATCCTGCGTGCGACTTGCGGCCGCGTGGCGATCCGTGGGGGGGTGCCCGGCGGCGGGGCTGGCCTGGAAGGCGCCTTATCGGACCAGCGGGCCGCTAAACGCGTCTCTCTCGTAGGTTCTTCCGCGAAGAAACGGCGGAAGAAGGACAAGCGATCGCTGCCCGACGAGGATGTGGCGGTGAGGGCGGCGCGGGGCTGGCGGAGGGCCGCGATGGGCTCCACGTGTCCCGCCCGGCACCGTGCGGCCGCCCCGGGAGCGGGGGGCGGGCAGAGAAGGGGGGGATGGGCGGTGTGAGCGAAACCGCGCGGCACACACTGAGCCCTCGTTGTGCTCCGCAGGACATCCAGCACACCGAGGAGTTCCTCATCAAGCCCGAGTCCCGTGTGGCGCAGCTGGACACGTCCCAGTGGCCGCTGCTGCTGAAGGTAACGAGCACGGAGGGGCGGTGACTCCCCGTCTTTCTTGTTGGGTTTCGTTCGGGTTTCTGCTCCGTGACCTGAAAGCAGTGAGGCTCTGCTGGGTTTATTTGTGCTGTTCCTTTCTCTGCCCCTCATCTTTGCGGTTTTAGTCAAAGAAGCTCATTAACCTGAATGCAAAGCGTCTTCTGTGCAACTCAGAGCTGTGCTGAGGCAAAGCTGCTGTCCTCCGTCTCATGATATTTACAGTCATTTATTTGCTTTGCTTTTGTAGAACTTTGACAAGCTAAACGTGCTGACAACACACTACACACCCCTCCCTTCCGGTGCTAATCCCTTGAAGAGGGAGATCTCTGACTATGTACGGTGAGTGTAACAATCCAGAGTGTCTTATTTCACTTCCACAGTTAGCATCTTACAAGCACATTCTGTTCCAGATTCATTTTTCTTTTCTCTCGACTCCGTCGTGCTGCTCACCAGTGAATGTCTGCCTGGGACCTGCTGGCCGTTTTCTTTGGGGGTGGCTTTGGTTTGGTTTTGTGGCTTCTCTGCAGGTAGATGTACACCAGGGGAGACCTGGTGCTTCTCTGGAGAGCCATTCAGTCTGCGTGGGGCTTTGGGTCTGCTTGGAGCACGGCTGCAGCATTTTACACTGAGCAGTGGTAGCATTCTGGAGAGTACTGTTTAATCATGGGGCATGTGAGCTGCAGTGCAGAACAGCTCCGTGTGTGCTCTGTGGAGCAGCTCTGTGGCTCAGCTCCTGTCCAGCTGTTTATTCAGGAATGGCTCAATCTTACCAAGACAGATCTCATCCTGTTTTTCACATTACCGTTGTTAGCCCCAGCGTGTAGCTCTTAATCTGTCATCTCACTCTGTAGGTCTGGCTTCATCAACCTGGACAAGCCTTCCAATCCATCTTCCCATGAGGTGGTGGCGTGGATCCGACGCATCCTTCGAGTAGAGAAGACAGGGCACAGTGGCACCCTGGACCCTAAGGTGACTGGGTGCCTCATTGTGTGCATTGAGAGGGCGACACGACTCGTCAAGTCTCAGCAGAGTGCAGGTAGGCTCACTGCCATGGGACTGTGGTCAGAGAGGCTGAGGAGGTGCAGAGTTGTTTTGGAGGCAGGGAGGTTTCCATTCTTGTCTTTGGGATACCTGCCCTAAGCTTTCAGTGCCTTGAGCTCAAGGATTGCTTATCCATCTTGCTTCTGGCCATTGAGGGCACATCTGTGCTGTCTCAACTGGTTTTTCTGATTGCTTTTCTGTCTGGGAATTGTGCTCTTTTAGGTCGATGAAAACAGGTCTGAAAAGACAGGTTTTGTGTGCTAACTGAACTTAAGGCACAAGTCTGCAAATCCCAAGAAATAAATTGTGGTGAAGAAGTAAACATGCAGCTTAGATTGTTCTGGGGGGGGGAATAACCTACTGCATAATGAGTGGTGTGCACTTCCTAGGAGAGCTGTTTGTGTGGCAGTGCGTGCCTTGAGGTCAACATTAAATGCAAGTGGCCACTCCTGACTGCTCTTGTCGTTCTTTCAGGCAAAGAGTATGTGGGAATTGTTCGGCTGCACAATGCAATTGAAAGTGAGGCTCAGCTTGCCAGGGTAAGTCTCAGCACACTGTTGGCCACGCTGGCACTCTGTGCAAAGAGTTTGGCTTCTCTGGGAGATGAGGGGGTAGGAGCAGAGCTCAGGTGTGCTGTGTGTGAGGTGATGATGAAGTTTATCCATTCTCTGAGTGCAGTGGCACTGCCCTCCTGCAGCACCCCGATTCCTGTTCTAGGGTCTGGGTGCCGTGCAGCCTCCAGAGACCCTGCAGTGTCCCAGTGTCCTGCTGGGGGCTGCTGTGGTGTGTGGCTGGCTGCCTGCAGGAGCAAAGCAGTGCTGGCAGGGTCAGGGCCCCTCTCTGGGGGGCTCTGTCCCCACTGAGACGAGGGATGACGTCTGATCACATGCAGCCACCTGATGAAAATCCCAGCTGTGCCTCAGTGGCAGCTGCAGGAGCGTTTTGACCACATCAGTGGTTCGCACAGCCTTCTTAAATAGGAAATAGCCACATGGTGATGAGCCTGTCACTCCATAAAAAGGTTCTTGTTCCTGGAGACCCAGAGGTGCTCGCACGTCAGCTGTGCTAATGGCCCAGCTTAAGGTGTTCTTTCTTCTTCTTCTACCTTCAGGCAATAGAAACTCTGACAGGAGCGCTCTTCCAACGACCGCCTCTCATCGCTGCTGTTAAGAGACAGCTGAGAGTCAGAACCATCTATGAGAGCAAGCTGGTGGAGTATGATCCTGAGAGAAGATTAGGTAAAACACAGCTCTCCTGCCTTTGATTACACTCACAGCTCAAGTGTGCTGCTTCCCATTCTTTGCAAATGTATGAGATACAGATCCTTGCACCCACTGAGCAGTTGTTTATGCTGAGAAACAAATCTCAGCTACTTTCTTTTGTTAGTTTTGCACCCTTCGCTGAAGAGCCAAATGATGCCAGCTAGATGGCATTAGCACTCAGTGCAAAGATGACCTTCATCTATCACCCCATGCTGATGGCTCTGTGAGGGGCTGGATGTGGAGCCTGCAGATGTGGCTCACTTACAGCTATATGTGTAAATTCTGTGGTGTTTCAGGTATCTTCTGGGTGAGCTGTGAAGCAGGCACGTACATCCGAACGCTTTGTGTCCACCTTGGTTTGCTGCTCGGTGTTGGGGGCCAAATGCAGGAGCTCCGCAGAGTGCGGTCAGGCATCCTGGGAGAGATGGTAGGGTGATGGTTGTGACTGTAACCAGCAAACTAGAACATGGGAGATTGTAGGAGTTCCCCAAAATGGTCTTTCTTCTTTGGTGTTAGGGAAGGGTATGGGTGCACGGTGACCGGGGGGTGCTGTGAATGGACCTGCAATGGACTTGCCATAGGCAGTCCAGAACCAAAGCGTTGAGTTCAGTTCAGGGTCTTGTCCCTGTTCTGGTAATTAAGCTTTGGGACAGAAACGACTGGGAAGTGCATCCCGGTGACTGAAAGCTTGTTTTATGCCACCTGTGTTTCTCAGCCTACAAACCACGCACGTGTCTGGAGTTGAGACACATGAGCTGTCTGCTCAGCAGCATGATCACTTGTGTCAGGGTGCAGTGCAGGCACTGTGCCTTAGCCAAGGGCGCTCGGGCTGTGCAGTTCTGTGTGATCTTCAATGCTTTGCAGTTTTCCACCTGGTTGTTCCTGGATCCCACTTGCCCATTCACACTCCAGGATTAATTTCTCTCCTTGCAAAGCTGGATTATCAGAGTGCAGGTGCTGCCCTATCTGTGCTCTTAACAGAGATGCAATTCACTGACAGTGAACCCAAGGTGATGGATGCTGCAGCTGCTTCAGTAACTTATCCCATGTTACAGATTCATGAGCTGATTAATTCAGGCTTCTACTCACTCATCTACTTTGTCTAGAAGTCCTAGATATTTAAGCTTGGTCACGCTTGAAAAGTGTTTCATGTAGACAGGGCTTGCACACTTGACCCCAGTGCAGTGTGACATTGGGCAGGTAGAAGCCTGAAGCAGCAGAGATGCAACTGCCCTCAGGCTGCCAGCAGAATGTGTTTGTTCTTACCTTTTCTATGGGGATTTTCAGCATGCTATCTGCCATTAGGCTTCAGCTGTGTCTTTTGTGCGCGTTTCAAGCTGGCTGCTGCTTAGGGGGGAGCTCAGAGGGGCTGTGTCTTTGCAGGACAACATGGTGACCATGCACGACGTGCTGGACGCACAGTGGCAGTACGACAACAACAAGGATGACAGCTACCTGCGGCGTGTCATCCTGCCCCTGGAGAAGCTGCTCACCTCACACAAGCGGCTCGTCATGAAAGACAGTGCGGTGAGTTCCTGAGGTAGGGCTGCTCGAAGCAGAGGTTGTGTCCTGTCTTGTGCAGCTCATAAATGAGGGATTGGGGTCCTCGTGCACAGCACTGTTGTGTCATGTGCTGTGCAGGACCTGATATTGGTAGTCAGCTAGAAACATTTTAGTATTATTGTTAGTAGTGGTAATGGGAAGGTAAAATATTAGTGGTGCTTCTTGCATTGATTTTTGTCCTCAAGTCGCTTACAAGCCTTTCTGTTCCCTTCCTCTGTAGGTTAATGCCATTTGCTATGGAGCCAAGATCATGCTGCCTGGTGTCCTGAGGTATGAAGACGGTATTGAGCTTAATCAGGAGATTGTAGTCATCACCACAAAAGGAGAAGCTATCTGCCTAGGTATGAAGCTGCTTATTCCTGTGCCCACCGACGTCCAAAAATAACAAACTACTTTCCAGTGAAGGTGTAGCAGATTAGACAGCATGCATGGAAGTTCAAGTAGTGCTTCCTTAAGAGCTATCATTTGGCAAGGTTTGGAGTGCTCCTCAGTGTTTCAGCTGCACAGAGCTCAGGTGTGTGTGAGGTGATGATGAAGTTTATCCATTCTCTGAGTGCAGTGGCACTGCCCTCCTGCAGCACCCCGATTCCTGTTCTAGGGTCTGGGTGCCGTGCAGCCTCCAGAGACCCTGCAGTGTCCCAGTGTCCTGCTGGGGGCTGCTGTGGTGTGTGGCTGGCTGCCTGCAGGAGCAAAGCAGTGCTGGCAGGGTCAGGGCCCCTCTCTGGGGGGCTCTGTCCCCACTGAGACGAGGGATGACGTCTGATCACATGCAGCCACCTGATGAAAATCCCAGCTGTGCCTCAGTGGCAGCTGCAGGAGCATTTCCAGCCTCTGATGTGGTCACATCAGCTCGCTGCCTTTGAGCAGGACATCTTTCTGAAGCTTTAGACCAAAGTTTCCTCCAGTGAGTTTTCAGGGGGATAGGGCATTGGCGGTGGTTTGTCTCTCTTTTGTGCTGCCAAAGGAGGAACAGCCTGAACCCAGCACATTCTTGCATCTGTACTCTCACAGTTTTGCTGCTTTAATGTGTTTGTAAGCTCCCTGCCTGTTTCTGCAGCCATTGCCTTGATGACCACTGCTGTCATTTCTACCTGCGACCATGGCGTGGTAGCAAAGATCAAGAGAGTCATCATGGAGAGAGACACGTATCCCCGCAAATGGGGCCTCGGTCCCAAGGTGAGCAGCTGGGGACTCAGTGGTGTTGGTGGGTGCCCAGGTGTGGGGCTGCAGGCACCTCAGGGTCTGTGCTTGAGCCCTCCTGTGGTCAAGAGCCAAATGATGTCAACTGCTTGGCATTAGCACTCTGTGCAAAGATGACCTTCATCTATCACCCCATGCTGATGGCTCTGGAGGGGCAAGGAGCTGTGCAGTTGCAGTGCTTCAGCTGAAATGTAGTGGGTCATTAAGCTGGAGGAATGATTACGGCCAAGGATCTGAGTTCAGTGATACACAGTTGTCTGCTGCTGTTACTTCTCTCACAAATCAGCCATTAATTAAAGTTCCGATGCCTTCTGCCTGTTCCTTGTTTGAGACTTGTAGGCTGCTGTGCAGTGGGTGTTTCCTGTGAGCTGTCAGAAGGTCCTCAGAGAATGGTTAAGCTGGTGACAGTGCAGTTGTTGCCTTGGCTTGTTCCTAGGTTATTCCTTAGAGTGGGTAGCTGAAGCCCAAGGGATGCTTTCTCCTTCATGGAGCTGGGGTCTGACCTTCTGCTCTTTGCTGTCAGGCCAGTCAAAAGAAGATGATGATCCAGAAGGGCCTGCTGGACAAACATGGAAAGCCCAATGAGTGCACACCAGATTCCTGGAAGAAGGAGTATGTGGATTACAGGTGGGTACAGGGTGTGCAGCTTCAGAGCGGTGGGCGCAGTGATGGGTTGCATGCTGTGGGCACTGTTCTGGGCACTGCCTTTTGTGCTTGGCGTGTCAGACCTGATCCAAGGTGAATTTGCTATCTGGACCCTTGGTGTTTAGCTGTGTTCCTCAAAGTCACTGGGAACGTGCTGATGCTCTGCCAGGCTGGAGTGAAAGGCCCCGAGCAGACGGTTATCCCTTTGTAGCCTGTGCCTGTGGCTCTGGAGGGAGTCAGTCTGCTAAATGAAAGAGAGGGAGGCTTTGCTGTTGTCCTGTCCAGCTGGCACTGGTGCAGGCTGCAGGTCATCCCCACACTGACCCCCCCCTAACCAATGCCTGTTGTGGGTAAGGGAACCCTTGTGGAAGGGCCTTTGTACTTGTGGAAGGCAGCAGCAGTCCCACTGAGCCTGAGGTCTCTTCTCTTTTAGGGAGTCGTCCAAGAAAGAGGCAGCTAAAGCTCCCCAGGCTGTGTCAGAGGTGGAAAGGGCTCCAAAAGTAAGTAATGCTGCTCTCTGGTTTGAGGTTGTTTGGGCTCTGAAGGCTGCTTTGGATCTTGTGCTTCTGTGGTAGAACCTGTCTCTGTGAGGGCAGAGAGTGCTTCCATTGCTCTGTCCTTTCGGTCCCTGTCTTTGTATATGAATACTGCAGCACCATAAGTGGGAATGAGGAGTACTGTAAAAACTGCAGCATCCAAAGAAATACACTGGATGGAGCTACAGTGCCAGGTCATTGTGCCAGAGAGCCTTTCTGGAGATTACAGACTGAATGTTCATCTGAGGAGTCCACCCAAACACTGTACATAGAGTTCCCTGAGCTAGGACTTCTGCTCTGATGTAAGGGTCTAAGTCAAGGCTTGCATGTAGTGCAGCAGTGTTTCAAATAAAAGGATTTGGAGTACAGGGAACACTTAAGAAGTTGGGGTGTAATTCTGGCAGAAAGGAATCCTTATGCTGTATGTTGTTAGGGACTTCTGGCAGTCTGTAGTTCACACTCCTTTTCAAAGTGTTGCTTACTGAGAAGTTTCAATCAGGGAAAAAAAAGCAGTTGTGATGGGCTTGTAAACAGCTTTTCCATCACTTGAGCTCGTTTGGAAAATGGTCTGACAGTGTGTTCTCCTAACAGAGGAAGCGAGAGTCAGAGAGTGAAAATGAGGCTGCGAGCCCCCCACCATCCCCAGCCACTCCACCACCAGAGGAGCTGAGCAAAAAGGAGAAGAAAAAGAAGAAGAAAGAAAAGAAAGCCAAAGAAGCATCTGAGAGTGGGGAAGAACAAATCGAAGTGGTATGGAATGGTGCTGCCATGGAATGGTTCAAGCATTGGGAAGAGTTGCTGTCTGTTGTGCACCTGGGATAAGAGTGTGTGTGTGGTGTTTGGACACCTGGGGCTGTGTGTGAAAGAATGTGAGGTGAAAGAGATTTCTGTCAGTGCTGCATTAGCTGTGTGTGGGCTGGACTGTCTTCCTGAAATGGGCAGTGAGTGGTGCCTTTTTGATTAATTCCTGAACTCCATTCTCTTTGCAGATCAGTGAAACCAGCACCAAGAAGAAGAAGAAGAAAAAGAAACAGAAGGAGGTAGAAGAGAGCTCAGAGTAAGCAACTGGATCTGTCCAAAGCATGCGACCTCATCATTAGGGAGGGAGAAGTCTGAGGCCTTGAAAAAGAGGACTGCCTGTGCAGCTGAGGGGCCAGCAAGTTCCAAGTTCCTTTTCTGCTGTGCGTATGAGTGAGAAGTTGTTTGCCCAGGACATGCCCTGCTCCAGCACCCCTCCTCATCCTGTTTTAAGGGTAGCCAGAGGAGAGTGGTGCCTGACTGCCCCTGCACTGAATTGCTCTGTAAAGCTGGACACCTCCATGCCAACTGAAGTGGTATCTTCAGGGAAGATGCGGCTCCTTGCTCTTTGGGGTTTCTTTTCACCGTGAAAGAGAGGAATAGCACTTTCCCTTCTCTCTTCTCCTGCCTCTTCCTCCTCTTCCAAGGTCGAAACTGTTACCCGACAGTTACAGAATGTGTTTGTGTCTGAAGGACTGGCTTAGCCATGGCCCATCTGGGTTTGGCACCTTTGGAGACAGCTGAATCGGTTATTTGAGGGGCTGTGGTTGATTTTAACGTGGCTGTATACTTGGCCTGACCCTCAGCTAGTTGAGAACAAACGTCCATTCTTTGGTACCTCTTTCCAACTTTATCATAAAAGGATTCAAACATGAAATTCCTGCTTTTTGCTTTTTAGTGTGGGGACCTGCCTGTTAGCTGTGAGCAGACCCAGGGTCCCCCAGTGATGTTGCCAGTGCTGGCTCCAACCAAATTATTGGCA